AAACATTCCCATTCCAAAAGGAAAGAATAAGGGAATAGAAAAGAGGGATCAGAGCAAAGCAAGACCAAAACCTAGCAGGGAAAACATGAAATCTCCAGGGCTCCATCTGGGGCACACTGTGGTGTAATACAGGCCCCCAAGAGCTCTGACAGTCCCACCCTTACATCTCTCTTAGCCACAGTCCACATGGCCTTTCTCTTGGACAGGTTTTCCATTATAGCCTGCAGCTTCCTTCAGCAGGCATTCCAAATTCCTGGTATCTTTAACTTTTGGGAGTCTTTGTTGCAGCTTCAGCTTCTCTCTAAAACTCCATACATTGTACTGTCAAGAGCTGCTTGCAGGAATGGCAATCCTACTATACAGTCTACCTGGGCTATGAGCCTTTTTTCTTTCTTTCCCTTCTTTCTCTCTTTTTTTCTTTTTGAGACAAGATCTTGCTATCTCACTAAGTTGACCAGGCTAAGCTTGACTATGTGATCCTGTCTCAGCCTCCCAGTGTGCTGGTATTACAGGCTTGTACCACCACATTTGGCTTCATGCCTTCCTTTGAAATGTTTTTGTTGGTTTGTTTTGTTTTGTTTTGTTTTTTGTACCAGAGATTGAACTCAGGACCTTGCACTTGCAAGGCAGGCAGCGGCACCACTGAGCTAAATCCCCAGCCCTCCTTTGAAAGGTTGATGAAAATCTGCATGACTCTATAACTTTTGCATTGTGTATGCTGGCAAAACTAGCCTCATATGGATAACATAAAGTTCTGTGGCCCATGAGAGCTGTACTAGAACCCACATAGAGAATGGCTGCTACATTGACTTGCCGTCAGCAGTTCCTTAGATGGTCCTAGGTAAGCAGGGGACCCCGGGGTTCTCTTCTCAAATGAAAGTCCTTATGGACGTGGCCTTGTGAATTTCTGAGATGTCCTTAAGGCATCTTTTCTATTGTCCTAATGTAAAGCACATGGCTCCCCAAACCCTTTAAGGATTGAACCTAACAGTATTCTACCACTGAGGTACAACCTCCTGCGTATCCCCATCCCTTTTATAAATTTTATTTTGAGACAGGGTCTCATTAAGTTGCTCAGGCAGGCCTCAAACCTGTGATTCTCCTGCCTCACCCTCCCAAGTAGTTGGGATCACAGGTATGTTGCCTTACATCTAGCTACATGCCTTTTTTCTAATAGTACTAGCAACTGCAAATGAAACCTTCATGGTCAGAACTTTACATCCCCAGTTTTTCCACTGTGCTCCTCTTTGCTGATAATTCTCACTGTAATTTGGCTAATAGCAACCAGTAATATCCATGCTGCTGCCTGAATGCCATGCCACCTTGAAATTTCCTCCACCAGATAAACCAGGACGTCTCTTGTAAGCTCAGCCCTCACAAAGTTTCCGGGCATAGGCATAATGCATCCAATCTTTGCCACTATGTAACAAAAAAAGTCTTTAGTCCACTTCCCAATAAAATCCTCATTTCCATCTGAGACCTCATCAGCCTGACCTTTACTGTCCACATTTATATCAGCATTTTGTTCTTTTAAACCCTCACTAGATTTATTGTTTAAGTTTCACTTACAGTAATGGAAGGTTTTCTCTAACTTGCTGCTTGAAACTTTTTTAATACTCCTCCTGCAAACCAGTTTCAAAGGCTCTTCCACAACATCAGGTTTAGTCACAGTAATAATCCCATTTCTCACCATCAATTTTCTGTGTTAGCTTTCTGTAACAAAATACCTAAGATAAGAACTCATAAAGGGAAAGGTTTATTTTGACTCAGTGTTGGAGGTCCAAACCATGACTGGTTGGCCCTATTGCTTGGGCCTGTGGTGGAACATCATAGCAAGAGCATGTAGCAAAGCAAAGTCATTCACTTTATGACTGGGAATGAGAGAGAGAGAGAGAGAGAGGTGGGAACCCACTATCCCCTACTATCCCCTTTGAGGGTGTATCCCCAGTGACTAGAAGATCTCCACTAGGCTCCATCTCTTCAAGTGTCTATCACTTGCAATAGTGCCAGTGTGGAACAAACCTTTAATACAGGGAACTTTGAGGGACATTTAAGATCCAAATTTAGCAAGTATTTAATTCTCATAAAGAATATATGAAATATATTCATTTTATGAATGGTGAACAGGCTCAGGAAAATGGCATGACACATCAAAAACCATAGAGCTAGCAGTACAGATAGAACTTAAATCCAATGGTCTTGCCTCTTTGTGAGTTTCTAGTTAGACACATAATATTTATGTCTGTTTAAATTGAAATATGGATGCACTCACTTTGGACTTGGTTAAACTCTATATGCAGTCCATTTGCAGAGTTTGTGTTTTGTCTCTTTTTCCAAATTCCTGATCTTATTAACATAATTCTAGGGTGCTTATAAAAGATAGAGTCTAGAGACGTTATTGTCTGTCTCCTCCTAGGAAAATGTTTTTATTAATCCCTACCAGTGGAGTCTGTGTTTCTTTATTCACCCACTCCTTCAATGAATATTTATTAAATACCAACCTGTTAATGTCAGCCTAATTTACACATAAAGATGAAGAAACAAAGACTTTTCAGCTATTATAAAAATCTTTTAATTTTTTTTGAGTTAAGGAGAGTCAGTCTTGTCTAAGCATTCAGTTAAAAATGAAAAACAAGCAGTAGAGTTGTAAGTGTATGCTCAAGGTTACATGTTATTATTGTTCCTTTTTAAGCAAGGCATGTATAATCCTCGTATTGGAAACAGGTTTCAGCTGCAATAAACAATGGATTCCCTTATCTCAGATGTACTAAGGCGGTTCAAGGAGTTGTTTACCACTCAGGTATTCCTTGTTCAGCAGTTTTTGCACAATAATGATACCTTTACATTCCCTAATGCTCTACCCTCCCAAAAGATAATAAGAAATTGAAACTGTGTACAGCTTAAATGAATTCATTTGTGCGGTGAACAAAGGGATTTTACATGCTCATGCAATGTCCATTTGACTAGAAGCCAGAATATTGTACACGAGCAGCAGAATTCATCTCCTGAAATTCACATTTTCTCTCATAAGAGGGGCAGAAAAAGAAAAGCAAGTGATTATAATTGCAGTTGGAAGCAGTTCCGACTACAAGGGCATTTCTTTAAAGTTATTCTTTTGGTTTTACCTTAAATTATCTTAATGGAAAGTAAAGTTTAGTAGGAACAAAGGAAAGCGGGGAAAGGAGAGACTGGAAGTTTTATTTATTCATTCAACAGATGTACTCGGCACATGGAAAACACTACATTAGGATCTGTGGAAACATAAAGATTAGTCAGGTAGGAGGTTTGCCTTTAAGAAAGTATGATGTAGAGCCGGGGGGTTAGCTCAGTGGTTCCACCACCTGCCTTGGCAAGCGCAAGGTCCCAAGTTCGATCCCCAGTACCAAAAAAAAAAAGTATGATGTTGAAGCAAATTAAGAGGTATAGGTACACACACACACACACACACACACACACACACACCCCTGTATTATCCTCAATGATCAAACTCATTATCAAACCTTTTGCTAACCAAATTCAAAAACTAAATGATTCTGATATTTTTTAGAATAAATTCTTTTCTACCCCAACATTTACAACTTGCATTTCAAAATTCAGGAACCTTGGGAAATTAGTTTCTGGACTCACGTCCAAACAATCAAGTCTACAAACTCAGGAATCTGATTATGGTAGCTGTCAGGATACTTGGTGCTCAAATACCTCAAATACCATGAAGCTTGGAGGATTGTGAGACACCTTCCAATGGGGTCCTGTTTTGTTTTGTTTTGTCTTTTTGGTACTGGGGATCTAACTCAGGACCTTGCACTTGTGAGGCAGGCACAGCACCACTGAGCTACATCCCAGCCCCAAATGGGGCCCAGTTTTATGGAGAACATATTTGAACTGAACCTTGAGTGATGGGTAGTTTTTCTCTCCAACTTCAGTACCATTTGGCTGTCCTTTTATTTGTCCCTGTATTTCCACTCCCCAAATTCTCTCTTCTAAACATTGCACCACTCTTTACAAGTTCCCTACCGTTTACTCTCAGCGAAAGTCCTCACTTCTTACTTGATGGAGAAAATAGGGACTGATAGCTGTGGATGGCCTCATTTTCCTAACCACATTCTTCTCTCCCCAGTAAAGCCCTGATCTTTCCTCATTTCACCCATTCTTACCTCATTCCCATCTGTCTCAAAGGAAGGTGCATTAGGGTTCTTCAGCAAAATATAACCAATAGGATATATAAAAATAAATACGTATGCATATATAACGTGAATTTATTTATGTGCTTATGGAAGCTGAAGTCTCACCATCTGCTGCCAGCAAGCTGGAGCCCTAGGTATAATTCAGTTCAGATCTGGAGGCCCGACAACCACTGGTATAAGTCTTGGAGTTAAAAGCCCCAGAATCAGGAGTTGTGATGTCCAACAGCAGACAATAGATCGATGTCCCAGCCCAAGAAGAGAGAGAAAATTTGCTCTTCCTCTGCCTTTTTGTTCTGTTTGGGCCCTCAATGTATTGGAGGTTGCCCCTCCACGGCAGTAAGGAAAGATCTTTACTCAGTCTTACCATCAATGCCAATGTCTTCCAGAGAGACACACACAGAAACAATGTTTAGCCAGCTATTTGGGCACCCTTTGGCCCAGTCAAATTGACATAAAAAAAAAAATATATATATATATATATATACACACACACACACATATATATATATACACACACACATATATATGTATATATAGCTATCAGAGGAGGAATCCTCAAAGCAGGATAATTTGTCCTTTGAATTCAATCCTCTTCCAAATATGTGGGTCTGTAAAATCGCTACTGCCTTTTATCCCCTTTGAGGCATTCCTTCATTTTTTAATTCCTATTTTCTCTTCCTTTGTGCTTTGGGCTGCCAATAATGTGGCTTTGCTTTTACTAGCACAGGTGGACCCATTCCCAAACAAAGCCAGAGTCTGTTTCCATGGTGAATAGAATCCTGGAGGACAGAGAGGTTTTTTCTGGGACTCCAGCTATATGACCGCCAGTATCAGCCTGGCCATCTTACATGGAGTGAGTCTGCCAAGAACAAGGCTAAGAAGCAAATGATGTCATGAAATGCAGAAATAGAATACTGACAATATTGTTTTTAAAACCTTGGATTTTCAATTATGTGAGTCCAAAACTTCACTTTTGCTTAAGATTGTTTGAATCGGGTCTCTGTTGTTTGCCACCATGAATTCTGATTAATTCTTTATCAATCGGTTCCCTTCATTCTTCAGTAATTTTGGCCTGTCCTCTCAAAACTCTTCAGCCCAAACACATGCTCTAGAATCCACCTGACCAGAAAACCCCCTCCCTGATCTGATAACTACCACCTGCTCTACTTCATTCCCTTCATATCTACAGACCAGAGTTGCAGATGTTTTCACTAATCATTTGTAAAACCAAACAACAACAACAACAACAACAACAAAAACCCCAGAATGAATAGGGATAATTCATTAAGGTTTTTTTTGTTTGTTTTGTTTTTTAGGATTAGGCTACTGAGGACAATTTAATAGAGTAAAATTCATTATTGTTTTATGTGGATTGAGAAATGTACACAGTAGTATAATAACCATCATCAAGATAGGGTATATTTTCATCATTCCTTCCCAAATTCCTTCTTGCACCTTTGAAATCAAGTCCCCTCCAGACCCTGACACTGATTTTTGTTCCTATGGTTTTAATTTTTTTTCTAGAAAGTCATATAGTTATACAGTATAGAGCCTTTGTGTCTGGGTTGCTTCACTAAGTATAATTATTTTTATTTATCCTACTTGTTGTGTGTTTTATTAATTTATCCCTTTAATTGCTAAGTAATAATCCACTGTGTGGTAGTACTACATTTTTTCTCCATTCATCACTTGGTCATTTTGATTGGTCCCAGGTTTGGGTAATGAAGAATAAAGGGCTGGGGATTTAGCTCAGTGGTTCCGCCACCTGCCTCATAAGTGCAAGGACCTGAGATCAATCCCTGGTACCCTCCCCACAAAAAAAGAATAAGCTCATGAAACCCTTGTGCACAGGTCTTTGTTGTGAATGCATGTTGAATAGTGAGGAGTAGGATTTCTTTATCATATGGTAACTATGTTTAGAGTCATATGGTAACTGCAAAACTGCTATCCAACATTACTAAACTATTTTGTATTCCTATCAGCCGTGTCTCAGCATTCATTTTACACACATCCTTTCAGCACTTGGTATTATTGGAGATTTGTTTGTTATTTTGCCATCCTAGTGAAAGTATAGTAATATTTCATTGTAGTCTTCATTTGCATTTCCCCAATAATGAATGACATTGAGCATCTTTAATACATTTGATGAAGGGATCCACTGTCCACTTTAAAAGATGAGTTGTTTGCTTTGTGAGAATGCTTTATATGTTCTGCAAACAAACCTTTTATTAGATATGTTTGGCAGATATTCTGTCCTAATCTGTGGCTTATCTTTTAGTGGCATTCAAAGAGCAGAGTTTTGAGTTTTGATTAGTCCAATTTATCAAATTTTTTCTCTATGGTTCATTCTTTTTATGTCCTATCATATAAGTCTTTATCTAAGCAGTGATTTGTGTTTCTTTATTTATTAAACTAAAGTTATTTAATTCAAAGCATTCAATTTTTTTTTTTTTGGTATCGGGGATTGAACTCAGGACCTTGCGCTTGTAAGGTAGGCAGGGTGCCACTGAGCTAAACCCCCCGCCCAGCATTTAATTTTTAAATTTTATTTATTTATTTATTTATTT